GGGCTTTCTGTTTGATCTGCTGCCATATCCATGGTACCTGAAATCCTGTCTGGCACACAGCAGGTACTCAGTATCTCTTTAAATGAGTAAACTCTCAGTGGCTATTCAAAAGAAATATTATTTAAAACATAATATTAAGAAAATAAGAGTTAAAATATCTTCACTTGTCTGTTATCAATGACATTTAAATCTGTTCCACTTTTCTGTATATCCTCTGGTGGATATTACCACCTGATGCTGGAGTCATTTCTCTTTTAAACACTTGTTACATGAATCAGGTTGAACTGAAAACATTTTCAGCAGCAGGAGATTAGTGTTGAAATGGGGCTAGGAAGACTGCTGCTTTATCCTCATGCTGCGACATGGGCCCACATCAATATGGAGCTCACATACGTACGTCACAGAACAGAGCATTTTCATTTGCTTCAACCAGTGTCAGTACTGTCATTCTGCTTTCAGTCACCTCTAGACCCAATAAAATAAGTTTGGAAAGTGAGCTGCTTCCTACACAGTAGGGCAGTGCTCTCGAACTCAGCCTCTCACCCACATCAAGTAGGGCAATAATAAGCCTTTTCACTCCTATCACTTTGGTGGTTTCCAGTTTGGGCTATTTTGAAATTAAGGCCAGTTCCCTTTCTCATTTTCTAGAGATGGATATAAGCTCTTTACTATATTGATTTTTCCTTTGATATCTTACATCTTCTTTACATGGCAAATAGTTTTTGTTTTAGAATAATTACTTGATTTCACAAAAGGAAAAACAAAATAAAATTGCTATTTTCTTGGATGGACTTTTCAGCTGCAAATAACACACAAATCTTCTATAATGGCTTAATCAAAGAGGGGGTAGTATTTTTCCTGTATGATAAACACTGATGTGGTAGGTCTGCCGTGGCATGTCCTGAGTCCGGGCTTATCTTCCTTCATTCTCTGCCTTATTGAACACTTTTGCTTTTGTCTTTGTGCTTGTCACCTCATAAGCCCTTACACCCTGCGTTTCACGAAGGTCGAAGTAAGAGGACATGGGCAAAGCAGCACCAGCATCACCTTTACCCTTCTACTAGGAAAGAAAAGCATTTGTAGACATCCTTATTTTGCATTTGCCTTAGGTCTAACTGTCCCATATGGTGTCAGATGACCACATCTGGATGTGAGAGGCTGGCAAAGCCAACTGGGCCCATTGCTGCCCTGAACCAAATCAGGGTTCAGTCAGCAACAAGGGGGGGAATGGATGTTGGGTGGACAACTGCAATGTCTTCCCTGGCTACTTATGGCAACCAGGTAATTCCATGTGAATGGGGACCCACGAGGACATTTTACTTATTGTATCATTTGAGTGTGAAGCTTTGTTCCTTACTCAGATAATTTCCAGTCTACAAGGATATTTTCCATTTCATTTTGTCTTTGCAGGAAGAACTCTTGCCATTAGATTTACTTCTACCTAAGTAAAATTTTCATAGAAGACTTGAAATAAATTAGGAGCTATTCATGCTGCTTAATGGTAGCTCATAGTATTAAGAAATAGAAAAACAGAGATTGATTTTAGACACGCTCAGCTCTGAAATAAAAATAAGATGAGGGGGATGCCTGGGTGGCTCAGTGGTTGAGCACCTGCCTTTTGCTCAGGTCATGATCCCGGGATCCTGAGATAGAGTCCCACATCAGGCTCCTGCAGGAAGCCTGCTTCTCTCTCTGCCTATGTCTCTGCCTCTTTCTGTGTGTATCTCTCATGAATAAATAAAATCTTTTTTAAAAAACTTAAAAAAATGAAATGGGGATTAGTTCACAGCATTGTGGTCAGAATATACCAAATAATGCTTTTAAGTGTTAATTGTTGTTTTTATGATTCTTGATTTGTTTACAGAACATACTAATTCAGTATTTATTATATGCCAGTTGCTGCTGTAGTGGGTTCTGGGGCTCCAATGGTAGACACATTAGATAAGGTCAGTGTCCTCACTCTAGGAAAGAGAGACAGGAGATTAGCAGATCAACTAGGAAATTAATTTCAATTAAAGGGGCAAAAATAAGGCAGAAAAGGTAAAATGTTCAGGATGGTCTCTCTAAAAAGAAGGATTTCAAATTGAGAACATGTTTTTTCTTGAGACCTCATTCTCTAAACATCCAAGTTAAAGGGCAGATATTCTTGGTGAAAATGCAGTTGTTTTCTGGGGGAAAAAACTAATTTTATCATAGTTTCCCTTATCCTAGAGGCAATAATATGGAGTGTAGAATTTACAGGTTTCTTTTCGCCAACAGACTAATTCACCACTGGGTCAGCCCATTAAACTTCATCATACAAAATGTACCAGGAAAATTGTTAGATTCCATGCTTTTTTTATTGTATGTTCTTCTCTACTTCTTTGTTATGACCCTTGCTGTGGTTCTTAATATAATAATTCTCACAATAGTGAGATCATACCCCTCCTCATGTATCTGACAAGGAGAGAAATATGACCCCTGTCAGGGCTCTGGAAATAAATATGCATTGATAAATATTTTAAAAATCACTTTAATCCTTAATTTAATCAAGTGCATTGAAATAGTCCTAAAAATATATATATTAAGGTGCCTTCACTGACAATTTCCTGGAATGTTGTTCACACAGAATGACACCAGGGTTGACCGATGGAGAGCATTTACTTGTTGGTTTGTTTATAGATTTAATATTTCAGGCCTTTGTGAGGTGGCCTTGGTAGTGTATTATGAGGTACAGCTTGGAGAAAAGTCTATTTATATTTATGTTTGTGTGCTTTTTCTTATAGATCTTTTTATTTGCCGACCAACACAAACATACTTCTTAATTAGAGATTTGTTTACAGTTTTTTTTTTTTTAACCTAGATTCCTTGGATTTGTTTAAAAGTTGTTTCTTTTTAAAGGCTGCTTCCAAAAACTACCTTTGGATGGCGCAGCTCATTTCTCTGTTTATCCCTCAAGGTGTCTTGCAAAATTATGAGAACATAAGTATCTAAGACAGACTTTCTTGTTGCTCAGTAAACTTGATGAAAATGTATTTGAGGTATAAATATTTGTTGTAATGTCTCATAGAATTTGTCGTATGTAGCCTGTGAGCTTGTATATAGCCCGTGAGCATCTATAGCATACTGGTGGTAAATGAAGCTGTAGAAATGGACGGCCCAGGAACATATCTTGAGGTTCTCTGGCATTTTCAGATTAACTAGAGGAGGGAAATCTGGCAAAGGATATTACAAGAGAATGCCCATTTATAGCAAGGAAACTGTCAGGGAGTGACATCACCAAAGCTTGTGGACAATAACAACTCAAGAAGGGATGGTGATTAGTGGCACCAAGACAGCGAGTGTGATGCATACCTAGCAGTACAAGTTGGGCTTAGTGCATAGAAGTCATTAGTGACCTTAGAAGATTGACATGATTGGCAAAGTGAGATGTGAGGAAACAGCAATAACTTCTTTGAGAAGTTTGCCTGGGAAGGGGAAAAGAATAAATGGCTGCTAAAGGGGAATGTGGATCTCAAGGAGAGTTCTAAGCTTTTGTTTTCTGTTTCATTTTGTCTTTGTTTATTTCTTTTTATAATGGGGAAACTGGAGTTTGTTTAAATACTGGTATGAAAGATTCAGTAATCCAAGAGTGGTTAGAATATATGAGAGCCTAAAGACTCGGTAGATAAGACCCAAATAGAAAGGGTGAGAGACCTGCTCTGGAGGGAAGAGAGCACTCCCCACATTGTGATGGAAAGGAAGGAGAGGATGCTGTACCCCCAGGACAAGCTCCTGTTTTCCCAGTGAAGTGCAAGCAGTAGAAGCTGTGAGAGCCAGAGGGCAGAGGCTGGGGAGTGGGGGGGCGGAACTCAGGTGACCCTGAAGACAGTAGTTTTGGTAACAATGAATCTACACCATTTGTGTAGTTTCCTGGAGAACTTAGTCTTGTGAAACACAGACCAGCAGGGTAGTGCCACTGACCCACAGCTGGCTCTTTATTTTCTTTTCACAGCCACCCATCGTAGAAGTTCAGCAAGGCAAGGGAGCTTCAGATATTTGCAATGGAGGGTAACTGCTGGTTGGCAGACTTGAAGACAAGGGAAGGCAGCTATGATGAAAGGGGACTGAGGATGGGAAAGAAGGGAACTCATGGCCTGGGAACTCCCACAATGTTGAAACGTTATCAGCTGCTGGGCTACCTGAGTGAGCAATCTGGAAGGATGCGATTTTGTAGTCAGAGGGCCTGTATGCTTAGTGCTTTTGGAAGCAGTGTCATTTCGGATGATGACAAGACCCAGAGAGTTTACTCTGGAGGGAGAGCAGACTGAGGAGAATCACAGAACAGAGAAAGAGGGTTTAACTCCTGATAATCTTTAGAGATAGATTCCCTCTTGGGCTTGACAGAATTCATCTCTGGCTTGGAATGGTTATATGTAGTATAGCATTAGCATTAGTATTAAATATATACAGCATTAATAGTACTATTAATAGAGGATAAGTGTATTTTACGTAGTTTGAGTATAGTGTATTGTAGTATGGATTGGGCCATTCTTTTTTTCAGATAGCTTTGACAGCTGCTTGAGTAAGCATGGGTAGGGCTATGTTCCCATCTTTGGCAGGCCTCATTTACTAGCTGAATTTCTGTCCAGCATTAGGGGGAGCTTGCTGTGGTTGAGTGGGAATTTCAAGGAGAACCACAAGCCACACCTCACCCTTTCACATTCTTCACTCATGGTTATATTGCCTTTGCCAGTATTATTCTCTGAAAGGAATGAGTGGATGTTCTTATATTTTTAAAAAATTTCAATGCCTATATGTTTTGCTCTGCCTCAGATATTAGTTGCGTTAGCGTTATCTATGACAGCACTGATATTTTCTAGTAAGTCGTGTTATAAAACATCACAAGTATCCACTAAGTGTTTCAGTGATGGTTGGTTTTTAATTTGCAAAGTCTCAATGAGTATCATTTACATATTTTAGTATTTCTAGTTCTTCTTTACTGAGGGTGTTTTCAAGGTATGTTCTTTTACTTCCTGAAGGAGCAAATGATGTGAAAATCCTTCCAGGTCAAGCTGTTTGTCCTACTCCAGGGTGCCGAGGAATAGGCCATATCCGTGGTCCACGGTATTCAGGACACCACAGGTAAAAATTTTTCTTGTTTAAATTATTTCAGGGATGAATTGGAAAAGTCTGCAGAGTAGCAGCTATAGACAGCATCATAAATGACTCTTGGAGCCTGCCTTTGCATCATACCCCCTTCTCAGTGTTCCTAAAGCCCCTCCTTGACATTTCCTGATGCCTGCCCACCTCTGCCCTTCCTGGGGCCTTCTTGGACCCCTGAGACCTCGCCCAGACCCACATCAATCCTCAGAGCCTCTGCTGTCTGATGCTTTTCTTAACCAGTGCCCATTCCATTGGACATGCTCACCACTCTGTGTCCTACCCCAGGCCTGAATTTTCTCCACGTGAATGTTGAGTCCTGCTTTCTTCTAGAGAAATTCTAGTACCTCTTGCCTTTCCCCACCTCTTTTTTCCCTTGTCCTTATTTCTTTCTCTCTGTGTCTTATTCATTTGGAGATGAGATAATTCTGTGATAGAATAGAAAGTAGTAAGTGTGAAGTTATACTGCAGCATATACCCATGTTTTCAATATTTTGTAATAGTATAGAGAAGATAGTGCTTGTAAGAAAAAGTATGTATAAATAAGTCTGTTAAGTCCCTACTGCTTTTTCTGTTCCCATCAATTGGTAAAATAATGTATAGATGAATTATTCATATTGGTGATCTAGTTATAGAATATGTAAACTAAAAAATTGTTTAAATACATAAAACAATAAATATAAAGAGAAAAGAATAAGTTATGTGATATGTGAAGGAAGAAAGTATTTGTTTGAATAAAAGAGATCCAAATGGAAGTCCTTGCTTTATCAGGTGGTTGCAATCCTGGAGACCAGTGCTGAAAACATTTCTAAATTAATCAAAGCAAATTACTATAAGAAATAATGGTAAACACTCCCAAATAGCATAAATTAATATGCTATATGTGTAAATATAACATTAAAACTTAAGAGAAAAAGATATAGATATAGATAGATATAGATATAGAATCCATTAAAGGGAATTAAGATGTGCCAACATCTTGGGTACTTGGGGAAATGTGTAGGAGTCACGGACCAGGAGAGTGGGGCTGAACTCGCTGGAGATGTTGTGGTGTTGTGTGGGGGAAAGGAGGAAAAGAGAGTAAAGGACATAAAGAAGGAGGCTAAGGGGGTAATCACACCATTTGGGAGGGAGCTCTGTATTAGGTGAGGACCCTGTTGGAGCAGATAGAACCACTTTTCAGACATCCCCAGGGGTATATATGGCTATGAAGAATCTTCCTCAGGCTTTTCTTGTGTGTTCTTTACATGATGTTTTTTTTAAATTTAGAGCTGTGAACCCCAATATGATTAGTCACTAGTAATATGTGTCTGTTTACATTAAAATTAATTAAAATTAAACAAAATTAAGGCCTCAGTTGCTCAGTGACACTTAGTCAGGTGTACCCAGTGGCTACCATACTGGATGGCACAGAAAATTCTATAAAATAGCCCTGAGAGTGTTTACCATGTTCTTCCTTCTCTAGATTTTTGAGTAGCAAGTATTTCCAGATGAAAAGTTAGTGCTTCTTTCAAAACTCGGGTCATTATCCTGAAAGTTAGCAAGACCATAACATTGTGGCTGGTCTGTCGCTTAGTGTTTTGTTGAGTTTACCCTCCTCAGACACTGGGGCTGAGATAACAAGTATCACCCTAGACACCTCTGTAAGATTGCCAGGTAGCTCAGTCAAGGTATCTTCTTCCATTTCATCACAGCTGACTTGCCTCCCACACTGTTTCCGTGTGGCTCACTTGCCTCTCCCTGCCTGGATTCTGAAAACATTGTGAACAGAGTCACAGTGTAGGTGCTCCACTTTGTCCCAGCAGCTTCCCAGAAGCTTTTCTCATTCAGGATGGCACAGAGAGACCCAATCGTTGTCTTATTTGTAGGATCTAATTGTGAATTAAATTGAGAGTATCTGACATGATTTTCTCCATCCACCAAGTATCCTTTAAAGGTTGGCCTCAGAACTTGTGAAGAAACTAGAAGAATATGGAAGTAGAGTTTAAGGAAAGGCATTCTGTGAAGCTTAAGAAAAAATGTATCATATGTGATAGACATTTTTAGGGAGCTAGAAAGCACAAGGCATTCATTCTCCAGACCTCATGATTCATGGGGGTGCTCGGGACATCATCTTCGTGATTGGGTCTTGGCTATTCTCCTGCACTAGACATTGTTATGCTAGAGCAGGGCTTCTGTAAGTAAAAGTCTTCAAAAGCTTAATGATTCCATTATCTCAGAAAAGAAAAATAATAAGCAATGACTACCTGTGATGAGCTTCTCTCTAGAATGGAAAAGATAAAAATGAGACAACTGGATAGGTTTTGAACTTGCATTTAGAACTTAAAAGGCATTAAAACTGTCAGACAAATTCTGACTTACCTATGGAAAGAGCTTTTATTATATTTAATACTGTTTTGTATTCAAAGAATGATGACAAGCTTATGGCCAGATTACAGTTGATTGTAAAGCAGTCATGGAGGGTGGAGGTCATGGACAATATCAGGTTAGCTCCAGTACCCACAGATATTCCTCTCTTGCTTTAACCATTTCCAATCACAGGTCTTGTCTTTATCAAGGTTAGCCTCCGGATGTTAGTTACTCATTGACTGACTATCCATTTTTAGTTCATACATTGATTTCTTTTTAAACCACCAGCTCTTGTTTTCAATTCTCTTCAGGTAATCACATTCTGAATATCATTTGCTAAGTTAATCCATGTACTAATGTAACTATGAGTATAACTTAATAAGAATTTGCTTAAATTCTCTTGGAACTAATTGGGCAAGAACTGGTTTGATAAATCATTCATATTCTCTGGTCTTTGTGTTCATGCATTTCAGTTATTGTCTTAATTTTTCATAGTTCTAGGATGAAAAATATCGTTCTTCAGTATGTGTCTTTGGTGATATCTGTTGAGAATATTACACACACACACACACACACACACACACACACACACACATATACCCTAACTACACCTGCTGGGAATTTGCTCTAACATACCCAAAGTTGTCTTTGTACATTTTCCTTCTTGTTTGTCAGTGAGATGGTAAGCAGGAGATGAAAATTTTAAAATGCCGCATTCTCCCAGAGCCCTGGATGTATTGTTATAATCATTGTTATAATCATCCCTAGCTTGAGTTTCCTGAAGCATGTTAGGTTAGACTTGCATATTCTAAAATTATTTTTTTCTCTTATCATAAATAGGTACCTTTACCAAGTAGTCATCCTTCTACAAAATGCTTTTTACAGTCTCTAGAAGAGTTTTAGACAAGTATTTTTACATCTAAAAAAAGGAAGAAAATAATAAAACCAGAAACCCCTCCAGCTTCACTGAGGTCTGCATAAAACAGCTCAGTTGACCTCTGCTTCCCAAGCCTTAGGGAACACTTGGAAGTAGAGTGCCGCACGTTAAGGAGGACAGTGATTTTAGCAGTTCTTCTACAAAATCCTCCTAGGCAACAAAGTGCTTGCGAGGAGGGAGTCTTGTTTTTACCATTTGATGTCAGAATTTCTGATTTTGATATTGAAGGTTTGGTGTTTTGAAAGGAAGTAAACAATTCTCTTTAAATAAGTTGTCGGTGTCTTGTAGAGCTGACAAGGAGTGCTGTGGCATCAGGATACAGCTGATGACAGTTGAAAATAATACATCACTTTAAGCAATCAGGTGGACTCTTGGTGTCCTTTTTAGATGGATTTCAGACAGGTTTACTTTAGTTTTCATTGAAATAGTCAAGGAGTTAACAGTAATATTCAAAGCTGCTTAGAGTTCATGTGAAATCTGTATAAGCCATTATTTGAGAAAAATTGCATCAGTTCTTATCTGTATGAAAATAGGACTTTTGGCACACAATTATCACACAATTTGCATGTTATTTGAATGAATTTACATAGTGAATAAAATGGAGTAGGTGTGTTTGTTAACACAGAAATATAGAAATATTTAAAGATGACAATATTGGGACTCTAAATTGTAAACTTACTTTAAGCCAGGGTCTGGGATTAGACAAGAATTTGTTCTTTCTAAATGAGTAGAACATGGGGCAGCCCGGGTGGCTCAGCGGTTTAGCGCCACTTTCCGCCCAGGTTGTGATCCTGGACACCCAGGATCAAATCCCACGTCAGGCTCCCTGAATGGAGCCTGCTTCTCCCTCTGCCTGTATCTTGGCCTCTCTCTCTCACTCCATGTCTCTTGTGAATAAATAAAATCTTTAAAAATAATAAACGAGTAGAACATAGACTCAGAAAGACTTGATCCACTTCTGCGTCATAAAACATACAAAGATGGGGCACCTGGATGGCTGAGTTGGTTAAACGTCTGCCTTTGGCTCAGGTCATGATCCTGGGGTCCTGGGATACAGCCTTGCACTGCATCAGGCTCCCTGCTCAGAGAGGAGCCTGCTTCTCCCTCTCCCTCTACCCTTCACCCCACTTATGCTCGCTTGCTTGCTCTCTTGCTCTCACTGTCTCTTGCTCTCTGTCTCAAATAAATATAAATCTTAAAACATACAAAGGTAATTTATTTAGGAGCTAATAACTACATTCTTTACACAGAGAGCCAGGTATTGTCACAAGGCAAAGACCTCTTGCCCCAGTGTTCCTGTGTGGCATACAGGACACACATTGCTGGCGTTGCACCATAAAGAATACAAATTAAAACAAACAAAAAAACCCCACACAAATGAAAAAAAAGGACATCTACTGCTCACAAGTGAGGACGTCACTATACATTTTGAGTGCTGTTCATGGAAATTTACGGCACAACTCAGCTCTGTTCATGATTTATGAACTATTTTGCCAGTGCGGTATGTGTGTTTCATAGAATGTATGTATGTGTGGGGTGTGTGTGAATGTGGTGTGTACACATGTGGTGTGTGTGTGTGTGTGTGTGTGTGTGAGTGCAGATAGGGTGTGTGTGTGTGTGTAGCGTAGTATGTGTTGGGGGGATTTTGTGGGTGTGTGTGTGTGTGTGTGTATATGTGGTGTAGGCGTATGTGTGT